GCAAAAGTCAAGTTTGGATGAAATAAAAGCATGAACAAGAGAAGCAGCAGCAGAAGATGAAATGTAAGGTCTAATGGAACGGATACGGCGAAGATGAAAGTAACCCGATCGGCATACAGATGATATATTGTTGCTAAAGTCAAGATGTTTGTCAAATATGACCCCTAAGTTCCGAACCGAAGTAGAAGGATATATGTTAATACCATTACAATTTATGTTAATTTCAGGAACAGTGCGAGTACGATATTTGGAAGAAATAACAAGAAGTTCAGTTTTACTAGGGTTTAATTTAAGTTCTGTCTCTTATACACATCTAGATGTGTATAAGAGACAGTACTGTTCGGCGTGGTGCACGACCTGCTCAAGTTCGGAGGGAACGTGCCTTCGTCCAACATCCTCATGGAGACGTGCGACAGCGACTGCATAGTCACGCTGACCGCCATGCAATCGGACGCCCTCCTGGTTCGCAAGCGAAACGAGAGGATGTACCGAATAGGAAGAATAATTCTTTCAATAAGTTTAGATAAAAAAGGCAGCATAGAGACGGGTCGATAATTATTCAGTATGTTATGATCAAGATTGGGTTTTTTCAGGATCGGGACAACAACAGCATTTTTTAGAATGGAAGGGAACAAACATGATTCAAATACGTCATTAATTATTGCAACAAAGTATGGAATAAGATGTTGCAAACATGGTTTCAGTATGGAACTGGGCAAAGGATCAAGGATGCATGTTTTGAGTGAATTCATATCAATTACACCGATTACCTCATCAACAGATGTAGGATCAAACTTATCCATCAAAGGAAAGTTGCAATTGCAGGCAGAAAATAAATTAAAATTAACATTAATTGAAATTTCTTCAAAACCAAATTGAATATTATCATGATGATGAAAATGATGATATTGATAATGTGGGTGGGATGTGTATGAGGATAATGATAATGAAAATAATAGGTAGTTTTCGCCGCACAACGTTAACTTTAACGGTAACCGATGACGTCATGATTTATTCATCTTGCGTTGCAGAGTATGTTAATTTCAGGATTTTACGTGCTCGACGTACGTTAGTTACGGGTTTGCGCATGCGTATTTCGATTTGTTTACAAAATTTGGGTACTAACGTTAAAGTTAAGGTTAACGTCGTGAAGCGAAAACTACCTATTAATAACAATAATACTTACGGTATATAAAAATCATAACCCTTTTCATGATCTTGTTCATATTACTGTACTATTTAATTGTTAACTTACAAAAGTATTAATTATTAGGGAGCTTTCGACTTGCATGAGGCCGTGACTCAACTAGGCGAATTTATTCGTGCGAATCGAAGGCGTCGGCTCGGTTCCTTAGCTCTGATTGGTTGCATACATTTTTCGCTTCGCAAAAAGTAGAAACAGTTCCAACTACCAATTTCGCTGAAACTTTCGATTCGCGCGAATAAATTCACCAAGTGGAAAACCGGCTTGCGTGACGTCCTACCGCGTCGTGCAATCGAAAACGCCATAATAATTGCTATTTACAGCTGAGAAGCTCGGAGAGTGCCCAGAAGTTCTAGAATACAATTATATCTACGAGTGTGAGCTAGATGGTGATTGCCCTGGTGATGAGAAATGTTGCGATGGTTTATGCTCCGAACCAAAGCGAAGTTAGTATACATTTTGATAACACCGTTTTAATTAATGCCATCTGCATTACTTGTCTTTTATTTTATGACAATGAATGTAGAATATAGACCAAAATAATATATAATACGGAGTGATCAGTATTTTCAATGGAATTGATGAAATTCTCGTGGTTCCACGTAGGTATTCCTTGGTTATAGAATAGGTGACAGACATAAAAGTTCTGCAAGACATTTTGACTTTAATTGAGACATTGATATTTATTGGTACAAAAATTTCGGTAATACCTGCTACCTTCATCAGCGTATGAGTATTAATTAACCCGGAACCAAAAACAGATCGAGCAACAACATTAGGAAATGTTAATGATATGTACATAGCATTTAACAGACTAGAAACAAGTAAAAGATCTATATTTATTAATGGCCCATCTTATTGGAATGATCTTCAAACCACCTTAGGACCAAACAAAATGACATCCCTCCCAACTCTAAAAAAGAATATTAAGAAGATGATATTTGAAACATATTACAACTTAGTTAACAAATCATTTGTTGAATACCAGTCAGTGATTTTGGGGAGAGGTGGGCAGGGGCGGATCCAGGATTTGAAAGAGGGGTGTTCAAAAACCAAAAATACCCAAAATGAAAGGGGGTGAGGTCCTCCCCATGGAAAATTTCCCCCTTGAATCCGCCACTGTATGACTAACGCTCAGGTGACCTAGGGTTTTAAAACAAATACCGTAAATACTCGCGTATAATAGGACGAGGCTTAAAATAGCAAATTACGATCGAAAAATGGGGTCGTCTTATACGCACGACATTCAAATTTTAGTTTTTATATTCATGTTCGTTTTATGTGCGGATCGTCCGTAACACACGATCTTACTACTGTAATGAAGCAACTAAATGTTGTATGAATGAAAGCAATTTTAAATACGGGAAAATACGATTTTGATGGTGAAGATTTAAAAACTCATAAAATGATATTATTTGAAAGATTACCCTTGCATTTGGCTCCATTTATCCAGCTAGATGCAGTATCAGGACCACAAAAAATTAGGAATTCCGACCATGAAACAGGGAGTCGTCTTATATGCCAGACCTGGCCAGACATACATACAAATATCAACCAAAAATCTTGTAAAAGGGGGGGGGGGGTCGTCTTATACACAGGTCACCTTATAGGACATACGCAAGTGTTTACGGTATTGCTTATTACGTAACCCCTGCGGAAGTTCGGGTTGCAGTCACATAATCAACGGTTGGTTGTAACAATTAACTCGCAAGACTGCTCACGACTACTAGATTCTACAAGTGCGTGGTTGGCTGGGTTGTTTTGGTCAGAAAGGAGAAACTTTGTCTGTGAATTGATTCTCGAACGAGATAATGAATGCTCTGTAATGACTCAAGCTACTGTATGACCGTTTTTATATTTTTGATAAAACCAATTTCTTCTAATTTTAAATACGTTCTTCCCTTAATTTGTGATAATTCTTATCACGCAAGTGCTAAATGCGTGACACATTTATGATCTCGCATGTGCTTCTGCAAAATGTGTGTTTCATCCAAAATCACTTTGAAACCCCACACGATGCGTGACGGTTGGTAACTATGGCATAGATAACTGCCGGGCCCTAGGTAAAATTGGTAAAAATGCACCTGATCGGACCTAGAGACAGAGTCTTTAATAGGGTCTACTCAGGAGAAACTCTTAATGCTCATACATTCTTAGATTTTTAAAAACAGATACGGCATTTCAGAAATATCTAAAGAATATTTTGTTTAAAAAATTCAAGAATATTGAGAACAAACTATGGTCAAGTCATATACATGTTATTATTTAGGGCCTATTAGGAATTTCATGAATCTATGATATATAATAATATTGACAATATCAATGGAACATGTATAGGTGGAATTGTGTCCAACCCGTCGTGAAAATGTACAGAATACTCAGTGCGTGTGAAAACACTTGCAAAAATAGTGCTACTCGCTGCTTACTTTGGCTTGAATTCAACCCTGGCCATCAGGTGCAAGCTCGGTGATCTAGAGTTATGATGCCAGGCTAGTGATTTGGAGAACTGGAGAATGTGGGTTCGAGTCCCACTGGAGAACAACACGCACTGAGTATTCAGTACATTTTCATGACAAGTTGGGCAAAATTACACATATAAGCCCCCCTAATTGATTCTCCTGACACAATTACCATTCAATACTAGAACAGTCATCGACTTACTTGCAGTGAAGTGAATCTAAAATGTATTCATGAAGTTATGATGATCTGAAGTGTTTAAAATCGTACACAATAATGGTTGAACCAACTTTAAAATACCACAAATACAAATGTGCGTAACGATATTTTATTGCTTTAGAAATGGGATTTCAAAAAGTATATTAGTGCATCACGCACTGAGTATTCAATATATTTTCACGACAGGTTGTGCAAAATACATATAAGCCCCCTAATTGATTCTCCTGACACAAATCCAGGTATTGTCTATTCCATCACGATAATAACAATTACCATTCAATAATACAACAGTCATCGACCTACTTGCAGTGAAGTGAATCTAAAATGTATTCGTGAAGTTAGATGATCTGAAGTGTTAAAAAAAACGTACACAATAATAGTTAAACCAACTTTAAAATACCACAAACACAAATGTGCTTGACGATATTTTATTGCTTTAGAAATGTGATTTCAAAAAGAAATTAGTGCATCGTATACGTAAGGACTTGTTTCGTTTTTTTTTTTCCTTGCAGCGTTTGGGAAATTGGTAATAGGTAAATTGTAATAAATATAATCAATAATTATAACCTCTAAAACCTAATATTATTGAAGGGTGCTTTTAAGGTTTAAATAGGATTTTTTCAAGTTATATTTTTAGATCATTAGACCAGATTAGACCTATTGAACGAGCCCCCAATACTGCACTGCCCATACCTACGCCACTGGACCTGAGTAGTGGTTACATAACGTTTGCTATGCATATATCATGCGCTATAGAAGTGGAAGACCATAATGTCTAATAGGATTGTGCCTCTCTGGTATAATCAGTGTAAAAGTGTAAGGTATAGGATAGCATGGATTTAAACATTTTCCTAATAGTAATGTTCAAAATAAGTGTCTAGGAAAGTAAGTATGATTGTTGGAAAAAATGGTCAACATTTTATTTTGCTTTCTCACCCTGACCTTCGCCTGGGCGAAGTGGGCGAACGTCTGGATCCGCGTCTAGTTAGCATGAATTTTATAAGCCAGGACCCAGTAGTATTTTGTTACGTCTCTTCACAGAGCGGGATTCGTCCAAACCGCCTGAACCCTCCCCCCACTCGATCCGCCACTGGTGGGATTGCAGGTCTCCCCCTGTTGTGACCCCTTTAAAACCCCTTCGGATTTGGCCGATCTTCGTTTGCAGTGGTTGGAGCCCGGGACTGGGGATCACTGAGTAC